GCTAGGATTACAGGTGTGTGCCACCCTGCCTGGCTCTGGTGTCTTCTTACAAGGAGACAAGTCCCATTCTCGAGGGCCCCACCTTCCAACCTAATCACTCCCAAAGCCCCCAACCAACATCACCAGAGTCAGGCTCGTGACATATGCATTCATGGGGGCACAAACATGCAGTCCACACACTAATGCAGACTCCATATTCAGATTCTACTGACTGTGCCGATGTCCATCCCAGCCGGTCCTTCCAGCAGCTTCCTCTGATCCAGGATCCGGTGGGGGATGGTGCATTCATACCTGTTGACGTCCCTGACTCCAGAACGCCTCCCCAGCCTCCCTCACTTTCAGGGTATTCACATTTCTAAATTATCCATCCCGATCAGTCTCCCTGTAAAATTACTATTGCATTTGGTAGCACTGTGTGTGTGTGTGTGTGTGTGTGTGTGTTATGGGGTGTTATACAAGTCCTACACTATTCAATGTGAAAACTTTCATTCATAGGAGTATAGAGAATGGGGTATAACACGCCCCTGACGTCCAGCCTTAAATGAACAATTGCTGGTGTTTTTCCATATTTGCTCTATCTCTTTGTTTTTTCTCTGTGTTTGATGACAAATCCCAGATGATATTTCCTAGGCATACATCTCTTGCGGAGAAGGACAATTTCTCTCATGTGCACTATGCGACTGTCACTCTTGACGACTCCAGCCGCAAGTCCTACTACTCCTGAGCATTTGACATGTGGCTAGTGTGACTGGGGAACTTCCATTTTAAATTTTGTATATTTTTGTTTATTTGTTTTGAGACAGGATCTAGCTCTGTTGCCCAGAATGAATTCAAAGCTCATGAGCTCAGATGAACCTCCTGTCTCAGCCTTCCAAGTTGCTGGGACTATAACTAATTTATTTTTAATGAACTTATATGTCATTAGCCCATGAGACTGGTGGCTCCCATATTAGTGCAGCTGCACTCCATGAGCTTGATTAGATCCAGGATCGATGTTTCTGGCAGGAATGGGAAGAACCTTCATAGACCACAGAGTATGTTTCTTACTGGGAAGCGCAAGACATCTGGTCAACCTGCTTCTGGTGATGCTGGATTGATCAGTGAGTCCTGCAAGATAACCCTGGGGTGATGCTCTGCAGTCTTTGAGTATCCCGTTGCCAGGCAACCTCTCCTCCTGTGGTCTCAGTGGCCATCGGTTATCATTGCCTGAATCAGTTGTTTCAGTGGGGGGGGGGGTTGTGATTTTTCAAGATCATCTCTTAGGGAAGGAGGACCCCCTCCATGTGTGCACGTGTATACACACTCACACAAAGTATTCCAGAGTGGTTGGCTTCAAGGTAAAGCCAAGATATCATTTCTTTCCAAGAAAGGCCTCAGAGGAGGAAAAAATCTATTAGTCTGTCTTTGAAGCATGGTTATTCTTAGATGTGTGGATAGTGTTTCGGCTCTGTGAAGCCTCTGGGACGGTGCGCACAATGTATGTATGCAAGAGTGTGTGTATATGTGTGTGTGTGTGCGCGCGCGTGCGCATATGCACACACATTTTGCCCTGGAGCTCTGTGGGTCTCTGGGGGAATCTGTTTCTCCAAGCAGGCAGCTGAATTACTCAGGAACATATCTGCTCATAGGGGACTAGATATTGGCTTCAGCACATACCAGAACCTTCTGCTTTGGAATCTTCATTGTGCCAATCTTCCCTGGATGGCATGTCGGCCTCTTGGCCATTGGCAGGATTGAGCTGTGGTGCGGCATGCATGTCCGAGGCCTCCAGCACATTCTACTTCTCCTTTCCCTGACAGAGTAGCAGCACCAAGTGGAGTATCCAGTGATCTGCTGCTGGGCCTGCCCTGTGGTTCTCCAGGGTGGAGGGTGGCTCCGGGGCATGCCATGGTCCTAGCAGGAGGAGGTCTCTCCAGATGCTCCATCTCTGGATTGAAGATCCCCTGGGAGAAGAGGAAGGGATTTGCTCATTCTCTCCAGAGTTTTTCCCAGCAGATCCAGTTTGGGATCATCTTAGCAGCGTGTCCTGGGCACTACCATTGTGAGGAGGATGGTCATTCCCTGAACTCATAGGCAATGCCGCTGGGTTGCAATTCCCTCATGGTATCAGGGAAGGGAGAACTGCAGAGACCTAGATCTGGCGGGGAGGGATCTCAGAATCTGTTTGCCCCCAGCTCACTGGATTTATGAGGGAGAAGACAGAGAGGGCAGCGGCCTGGTCCCCTCTAGAAACAGCAAAAGGGGAGCAAACACCAAGTGCCCTGGGCAGTGTTGGCAGGGTGATGGTGGGCAACAGTGCCACAACTCATGTGTTTTGGTGACTAGAGTCTAAGAATGGCAGCTCTCAGAATCCCCTGCATCCTGACACCCTTGGTTTGGAGTCCACCCTGCTGGCCCCCTTGCTGATCTTCCTTCTCATCTGAAAAATGGCTCAGCAAGCCCTGCTCTGCAAGCTTCAGGGGCTTTGGAGGGGAGCTCATGAGCTGCCATGGTCTCAACCCAATGCCTGCCCCAGGGAGAGGTGGGCGAGCAGAGCAGACACCACCCTGCCTGCAGCGGGCAGCCTGAGTGAGCTTGTACACTGAAGTGCTGTGCACGCAAGCCCCCCACCCCCACCCCCCTCTCCCTCACCCCGGCAATGAAGGCTCCCAGGTGTCCCGTTTAATCTCCACAACTACCCAGATGGTGGGTGCCATGTTCGCCACTTGGGGGTTAGACTTGGACTCCACCCTCCTGTGTGGGCCTTGGTATTCTCATCTGCCAGATGGGAGCACTGTATCGTCCTGGCACTGGGGACAGGTGAAGGGACTGCCTGTGATGTGGCCCTTGGGGAGCTCAGCATTTGACTCTTTGTTGTCCTTTCTGCCAAGCTGGTTACTGTCCTCTGGTCAATCCTTCCCTGAGTGTCCCTGGGAAGAGGGGACTGTAGAGATGAGGGGCTCGTCCACACGGCACACAGTGGGCCTCTGTGGGTGCTGGATTGATCAGTGGACCCTGGCACCTCTCTGCAGGAGGACAAGTGACCCAGAGTGAGGGGCTGGGAGTCTGGTGACTCCGCCCCACTGGTGGCTCCCTGAGTGACCCTGGCAAGACTCGTCCTCCTGGGTCTCTCTAAGGTGTGCTAGTCTTGGCTCTCAGATGCAGCCTCAGTGTCAGGCCCACCTCCCCACTCTACCATGGGCTGGTAAGATGGTGGACAATGGTGACATTGTCATGGGGCAAAGGGGTGGGCAAGAGCAGAGTCATGCAGGACCTATGTGGATGACCCATACACTGGCCCTGACTTCAGACACTGGATGCTGCTCTCCCCACCCCCCATTATGGCCCACAGTTCCTCCTGGGCCCTGCCCAGGGAACAGCCCAGAAGCCACTAGGCAGCCCCAGGGCCCATGGTCTCTACGGCAGAAGCAACCCCTCCTGCCATGTCCAGCTCTCAACTCAGTGTCTGCCCTCCTACAGTGGTGCCCAGACTCTGTCACATACCCCATTGAAAATGACTGCTGACATTTGTCCTTAAAGGAGAGTGGGGGGAGAAAATCAGAGAACTAGTATAAAGTGCCTGGAGCTTGGTGAGCACCAGGAGATAAGACTGAAGACACGGACCTGTCTTCAAGCCACGCTCTCTTTTTGGCTCACTCTCACAGGTAGCTTGTGAAGTTTCCAGGAGGATCTCAAGCTCAGAGAGGCTAAGTTCTGTTCCCTGGGTCACACAGCCAGGACTGGACTGCAGGGCTAGTAGTGTTGGCGGTCAGGCTCCTCATCCAGAGCTTTCCTCAAGCCCAGAGTGCAGCGCCACCCAATCCCCCCCACCGCCCTTTGCCTCTTGCGGTGGTGGCACTGACGGGGCGTCAGGGGACAGTGTAGGGCCTCGGTCTCTCTGGGGAGTGAGAGGAAGGAGTTGGGCCAGGCAGGCCTCCTGAAGTGGGGTCCTAGATTTCTGAGGGGTCATCCTGGGCGGCGTGGAGCCCGAGACGGGACAGAAATCATAGGGCATTAGAAATCCCTCCCACAGGTGGATTTACAAAGTATCCTTTTGGCTGAAGATTCATGGACTTTAAAAGTGACACTAGGACTGGGTGGGGGCCGTCCAGCGGTGGGGCGCTGGCCGTGCGATCCAACCCCACCACAGACCCACCAACCTACAACTAGGAGCAACCACGGCACCGCCCATCTGGGGCCGGCCCGCCAGGGATTGGCTGCTGGTGACGTCATCGGACTAGCTGGGCCGTGATTGGTGGATGAGAACTCCAGGTCAGGTGTGAGCAGGGCTCCCTGGCCAGGGCGGGTGTCCGTGGTCCCCAACACCTAGGGAGAGACAGGGGAGTGGAAGAGGCCCGGTTTCTGTGGGGTGAGCCCTCATCCTAGCCCCACTCTGAGCCGCCTGCATTTCATGGCTCCTCGCCCATCATCTTCCCGGAGGCAGGGAGGCTGGGCATGGGACTCCCCCCTCCTCCCCCCCCCTTTTTTTTTTTTGGTACCAAGGATTGAACCCAGGATGCTTAACCATGAGCCACATCCCCAACCCTCTTTTATGTTTTATTTAGTGACAGGGTCTGGCTAAATTGCTTAGCGCCTAGTCTAGCTTTGAACTCGTGATCCTCCTGCCTCAGCCTCCCGAGCCGCTGGGATTACAGGTGTGCGCCACCGCGGGACTCGCTTTTCGTTATGGAGGCACCTGCATGCTTGCAGAGAGGAGGAGATTTCTCAGAGAGTTACAGAGCCCGTGGCAGAGCTGAGGGCTGGTCCCAGGCTTGGCTGGTCAGTGCCATCAGGTATGGGGCCCTTCACATGGATGGCACCTCTGTCTCTGGCTGGTCTGGCCCTGCGCTCTGTCCTGCTGAGAATGCCAGAGTCCCTTGACCTGGCACATGTTCCCCTCAACCATCTTAAACCTCTTGCTCAGTTTCCCCTTCCTGTTCCCTGCCCCCCACCCCCTGCTCCCGCCCCCCTCCCCCAGGGTTTGATCTCTTGGCCATTCCCCACGTGGCACCAGCCCAAGGGCTCTTTCCCAAAGACTGAGCCAGGATGCTTGGGCCTTTCAGGAGGAGCCTTGAATTCATGAATGGACACAAAGAAGCAACCGGGGGGGCCCTGCTGGAGAGGTGGGGGGAGGCTTCCCAGGGGCGCTTGGCCCTGGGCTGTTCTTGGCCTCTGTGGGACAGACAGACAGATGCCCCTTTGTCTAGGAGCCTGGGCAAACCTCTTTAGTGCATTGTCCAAAGAATTCAGGGTCGCTGCCGACAGGCACCAGCCCAGCTGGGAAGGGGCATCCTTAGCAGCTTGCCCTTCTCTCTGGGCCTCCTTTATGGGGGGTGCAGACCCCCACCAGGGACAGGCCAGCAGAAGGAGGAATTGCAGAAACTGGGCTCTGAGGTTGGGCCTGGCTCTTGCCAGACTGCAGAGGAGGGAGCTGGAGCGGGCTGAGCCCAGCACCCAGGCCCTGAAACTCTTCCTGCCCCTCATCCCCATCATCCCTGCCCAGGGAGGGAGCACCCTCTTCTGGTTTTTAATCATCAGACTCATGTTGCTTTTGAAAGCGATACAAATAGGACCAAAGTGGGCATGCATTCGCCCTGGGCTGCATGCGGGTCTCTGGGTGCAGAGATTTGTTCTGGATGCATCTAGTATGCCTTGGTGTGGCTGTTCCCCTTTATTCCCATTCTCCTGTGACAGGTATCTGGGTAGTTGCCAGGTCTCTCTGGCCAGCACCTTCCCTTCTCAATTCTGATGCAGAAGAGAACCTCTGGTCTTGAATGTTGATTTCAAACCTAGATTTCAATACTTAAGACATTTCTGTTTTGTTTCACCACCCTCCTCTTCCTCCTCCTCCTCCTCCGCTATGAATTGAACCCAGTGCTAAAATATTTCTGTTCCATTAGATTTTTAAAACAATCACTTAAGGGCTGGGGATGGAGCTCAGTGCCTAGAACTGGGGAAGGCCCTGTGGATCCCAATGTTGCAAAAAGACTAGGAAAGAAAAAGAATGTTAAAGTAGCAAATGAACATTGTAACTGGCCAGTAACACAGGAGTATTAAGGAAATGGTATTTATCACTGCTCCTCCCCTCTCACCTCCCTACAGCTCAGATAAGGTCCAGTTTGCCTCCCTTTGTATCTTCTTTTTTTTCCAGGTTGGCAAATTAACCTTGGCCCATAAAGATTGTGTGACTCTGTGGACCTGCTTAGATGAAACTGTCTCAGTTGGTACCCCAAAAGATTCTTTTTGGGGGAGGCGGGTACCAGGGATTGAACTCAGGGGACATTTAACCACTGAGCCACAATCCCAGCCCTTTTTTAAATATTTTTTCAATTTTGAGACAGAGCCTCACTAAGTTGCTGAGGCTGGCTTTGAACTTGCGATCCTCCTGCAACAGCCTCCAGAACTGCTGGGGTTACAGGTGTGCACCACCATGCCTCACAGCCCTGAAGAGTCTATTCCTAACTGGGACTGTTCCTAACTCATTATCTCCCATCTGCGAAGGATTTAATAAACTCTCTGAGATGATGGATTGTTTGTTTATTTACCAGGAGTTACCTGTTGCTCACCTGGCCCTGGTTGGTACTGGGAAGATAAAGATGAATCAGGACCAGGTTTGCAACCGAGGGGCCCATGCAGACCCAGAAACACACAGACCCAAGGCTGCATCACAGGTGCTGTGAGGTCACATGGGAAGCTGTGGGGTCTCTCTATGAGTTCTCCAGAGAGAGGAAGGGCAATCCCAGGCAGGAAACAGCTTGTGCCTTGGCCTAGGAGATAGGAGAAGGCAGTTGACAAGGACAGGGTGTGAGAGTGGGAGTCAAGAAACACTTTTCAGATTAGGGGCCTTTTGACCTGGGCTCTGAAGGACAAATAGGAGTTCTCCAACTAGAAAAGAGTGAAAGGGACTATCAAGCCTAGGAAATGATGTGTCGAAGGCCCAGAGGCATGACAGTTGTGGGCCACAAGACAGCTTTCCTAGGGTGAGGGTAATCGCAGGGCCAAGGATGGGAAAGGAAAGAAGCAATTCTCTGCAGAACACTGGGCCTTTAAACACATCTGGCATTTCTGCATTTTTCTTGTGGGGGGTTTGGGGGTACCGGGGATTGAACTCAGGGGCACTCCACCACTGAGCCACATCCCAGCCCTATTTTGTATTTTATTTAGAGTCAGGGTCCCACTGAGTTGCTTATGCCTGGCTTTTGCTGAAGCCGGCTTTGAACTCTCGATCCTCCTGCCTCCGCCTCCTGAGCTCACACTGCATTTGATGAAGACTTTCTAAGGTGAAGGCACTATGTTAGTCAGCTTTGTGTCACTGTGACACAAGATACTAGATATGGACAGCTTAGGGGAGGAAAAGTTTATTTGGGCTCAAGGTTTCAGAGATTTAGTCTGTGGTTGAGGCCATTGCTCTGTGCAGAGGTGAGGCAGAACATCAGGGCAGAAGGGTGTGATGGGGGGAAGCCTCTCATCTCATGGTGGCCAGCTGGGAAGCAGAGGGAAGGGGTGGAGGGGGTCACAGGAAAGATGGACCCTTCCTGGACACACCCCAGGTGACGCACCTCCTCCAGCCACGCCCCACCTATCACCCCGCCAGTCCATTCAAAGTAGGATGGACCAATTAGGTTACAGCTCTCATAACGTGATCATCTCACCCCTGAATATTCTGCATGAACACAGGAGCTTTGGGGACACCTCACATCCAAACAACGGCATGGCCTACCAGGTTCAGAGAGAGCAGGGATCGTTCACAGCTGTGATGTAGAAGCCGGAAAAAGGGCTCTGCCTCTTCCCTTCCTTGGCCTCAGGGCCCCCAACCATCTTCCTTCTGGGAGTGATGGCCAGCTGTATTATACTATAGTGTGAAGGGCTGATGCGGACTCTCCCATCAGCAGCACAGATGGTGTGGAAAGGACCAGTGGATGCATTAGAGAAGGTGAATCTGGAGTCTCAAGATCCCTTCTCTGAGTCCCCAGATAAAGTGAAGGTGGTGTCAGCTGCTAGGGCTGAGCCGGGGCGGCTGTGCCTGGCCTGCCTTGGGTCAGTGCGGACGTTGCTAATTCCCCACAGCTTTCATTCCAGCTGCTAGACTCAGGACCTCTGGTGACATCCAGGAGAGCTGGCTTGTGGGCAGGAGCCTGCTTGCCACCTCTGCTGGGCCAGGCGCTGGCATGGTGGCCTTGGGAATCATGAGTCCCTTGCCATGTGGTCCCCCTCTGCAGGGCTCTCCCTCCAGTCCCGGGGCTCTTGACCTTGGCTGTGCCTTGAAATCACCTGGAAGTTGTGAAACATACCAGCCTCACCCCAGCCATCCTGTTCGACTGGGCTGGGACCTGGGCATTGGGAATCTTAAGATCTGGCCTAGTGACGGAGTCGGGTGGCTACATTCACTCTGGTCCGATTGCCCAACCTGCTGGGGGTGTCTCGTGTAGCCTCGAATTTCCTCTGCTTAAGGGAGAACGGCAAGAGAAATTCAATGAATATCCAAGCGCCATCGACTTAGATTCACCAGCTGCTGACATTTCACAACGTCTTGCCCTGTTTGTGGCTCTTCTCTGCAGATGCCTTGACATTTCCTCCCTAAACCCATCAGCATACATTCTCCTACAGAAGCTCAACACACTGCTCCCAGAATCTTCCACATCAGAGTCAATACTGTGATCTAACAAGCCGTCTCCCACCAACTTCCCCCAGGGCCCTTAAGAGAATTCTTTTGGGGGGGCAGGATACCGAGATTGAACCCAGGGGTGCTTTACCACTGAGCCACATCCCCAGCCCTTTTTATATTTTTATTTTGAGACAGGGGTCTCACTAAGTTGCTCAGGGCCTTGCTGAGTTGCTGAGGCTGGCCTCAAAACTTGGGATCCTCCTGCTTCAGCCTCCTGAGCCACTGAGATTACAGGTGTGCACTACTGCACCTGGCTAACACAAAGATTCTTGGCCAGGTGCAGCGGTGCATGCCTGCTGATTCCGGGTATTTCATATAAATGAAATTATATAATATATGATCTTTTGTGTCTGGCTTCTTTCACTTAGTGTCTTGTTTTTGAGGTTCATCGGAGCTGCAGCATCTCTCAGTACCTCATCCTTTTCTATGACCCAGTAATATTCCACCGTATGGGTAGACCACATTTTGTTTCTCCACCCAGCCATTTCCTAGGTGATACATATAAACTGGTCTCGCTATGTTGTCCAGGCTGGTCTTGAACTCCTGGGCTAGAGCGATCCTCCTGCCTCGGCCTCCTGAGTAGCTGGGACTGTACTTGGCATCCAAGTGACTCTTACAGGGCAACCAAGATTGAGTACCAGTGGCCTAACCTTTTCCAACCTCCCTTCATATTGGTACTGTGTGCTTTATACCCGTGCTGTGGACGTAAGTGAGACCCCCTGCCAACCAATGTGAAGTACCTGGGTGCCTTAGGCTTCAGTAAGAAAAAGGTGCTGGGCTCTTGGGGGAACTCTCTGGGAGGAGGGAAAAGGAGAATTTGTTTGGGCCCCTGCCATGTCTGGTCCCATGTGAGTCTTGAGCCATATTCTCCTGTGGGTCCTGCAGGCTAGAGAGTATTTTATCTCCTTTCAGTCACCAGGAATCAGCAGCCCAGAGATGTTAAGTAATTTCCACTAGCTGGCACAGCAGCTAAGTGACCAATGCAGAGGGCTTCCTCCTCACTGTGCCTCGATCCAAAGCCCTGGCCCCTCCAGTTCAGGATTCAGCATAGTGTGCTCAACTCCTGCCAGCTTCGGGTCTGGATCCTGGCTCAGTTTGGGAGCCCTCCAAGTGGTTGTGGCCACATGGTCATCAAAGCTACAAAGGTTGGCCACAGAATGGGGATTCTGTTCTCCAGAGAGGAGGGAGGAAAAAAACCCAGTTTCCTTCTTTGGTTTAACCAGCAACATGCTGCTAGAAGTATTGGCCTCTTTCAAGAGAAACTTTCTGGAGTCTTGAGGTTGCCTCTTGGCCAACTCTGTTCTGAAACATCTCAATTATGATTTCATCTGTTCAAAATGAAGCTGTTGAAGGTGGCGCACACCTGTGATCCCAGTCACTTGGGAGGCTGAGGCAGGAAGATCTCGATTTCAAAGCCAGACTCAGCAAAAGTAAAGCACTAAGCAACTCAGTGAGACCCTGTCTCTAATAAAATGCAAAATAGGGCTGGGGCTGGGGCTCAGTGGTTGAGTGCCCCTGAGTTCAATTCCTGGTACCAAAAAAAAAAATGAGTCCCCTTGTCCCTTTGGGGATGAATAAATTCTGGCACATCCATACAATGGAATACTGCTCAGTCCTGCAAAGGAAGGAGGGTTGTGGGTGTAGGCCAGAGGTGAAATGTGTACATAATATGGCCAGGGACTCAATCCCCGGCACCCATAAAATAAAATAATTAAATGAGATAAAAGTAAATAAAATGAAGGCACATACAACATTGAGGATGATTCCCAAATGCTAAATGAGAGAAGCCAGGCTCAGAGGCCTGTATGTGGAAACAGAATGGAAGATATGGAGCAATTGCTCAGAAAGGTGAGGTTCTCTTCAGGAGACTCCGTTTGCCTTTAGTGTAAATAAGTCTGTCTTAGATTCATGTTAGTAGAAAATAAGCAAGTCCTGTTTGGCATCCAAAACACAGTTTCTTTTCACTTAAAAATGTACAGTGATGCTTTCCTATAATCCCAGTGGCTCAGGAGGCTGAAGCAGGAGGATTGTGAGTTCAAAGCCAGCCTCAGCAACTTAATGAGACCCTGTCTCTAAATAAAATACAAAAAAGGGCTGGGGATGTGGCTCAGTGGTTAAGCACCCCTGGGTTTAATCCCTGGTACCAAAATAAATTAATAAATAAAAATGGAAAATGCACTTTGACTTGATATCATAAGATCTCTTCAAACATTTTTAAAGGCTCTACAGCTGTGGGATGACTCTGTTTATGTGACATTCTGGAAAAGGTAAAAATTAGAAAGAGATGGAACAGCCATCGCTGGGGCTGAGGCTGGAGAGGTGTTGGGGACCAAGGACCTGGGACGTGGGGATCTGAAGGGGCTGTTATTTATCTCAACAATGGTGATGTTTCTGTGATCCAAACTCATAAAACTATAGCAGAAAAATAAAACCTTATGGATGCAAACTATCATGTAAACTTAAAAAATAAAATCTCTATCGTCTTAAAGTGGGACTTATGAAGAAACTGGTCCCCAAGGGGTTAAAGGCAACGTCCCCGGGTCTTTAGGGTGGTGGGAACTGTTTTTTGGGCGCTTGCCCGGCCTGGCCCCCGTCTCCTGGCCTCTCATCCCCTCCCTCGCTGGCCTTCAATAGCTGCAGCGTAAGTAACAGACAAGGGGAGTTTTGTGGAGCCCAGAAACAAATAAATAACGGCTTGTCCCAGGTCACCACGGCAACCATGACATCACCCTTGAAGCCTGGTGGCTGGCGCTGTGGGTGGCTCAGGGTGTTTGTTTGAGTGCAGGGGAGGAGAGGTGGCCAGGCCACACCTGGAGCAGGTACAGACGCAGCGCCCACCTGTGGTCCCTTCGCAGTTGGCTGCTGCGGTCCCCGGCCCGGTGGCGGCGGTATAGATTGGCAATTGGCACCATCTCCTTGGGGGCTTTTGGGCAGAGCCCATCGCCATGCCCACAGCGTGTACCTGGGACAGTGTCTTCCAGCTGCAGTGACAGAGGAGCATGCACTTGGTTCCAGGGACAGAAATCCAGGATCACGGCACGAGCAGGCTGGAGGTCTGGCTCTGGTGGCGGCTGGCACCCAGGATGCTCCTGGGTTTGCAGAAGGCTCACTCCTGTCACTGCCCATGGGACCTCGTGGCTGTCTCTCCCTGGGTTCGCCCCACAGCATGGTTTTTGTTGAGAAGCTGGTCTTGGCTGCTGCTGACGTCCTGGGCCACCTGGGCAGAGGGTGGCTGCTGAGCCTTCTGTTCTAGATCTGCAGGGAGGCTCTCCTTGGGGGCTCCCCTCTGCAGGGTTCCTGCTGTTCCCTCTGAGATCCTAGGCCGCGTTTTCAGTCTCCTCCTGCCAAAGTGCTCAGAGCAGGGATGTGGAGCACTGGGTTGGGCAGGCTCAGCCCAGAAGCCTTGGGACCAGTGACTGGGGTCTTAGCTTTCTTGGGTCTGATGGGCTCAGCCTGATGCTGACCATGGAGTCACATGACCGTGGAGCCAGGGCCTGATGCAGGCAGGTCAGTGATCAGAACAGGAAGGGTGGGGGAGCTGACTTGGACCCCTGACCTGATCCAGGTGCCAGGGGACCAGCATAGGGAAACCGGACCCTGAGGACCCCAGGGGAGGTTAGTGTCAGTGCCTGGCAGAGCCTCCTCCAGCCTTTGCTCCTGCCCTAGCCACACTAGTATATGCACAGCCAGCATACAGAAAGGGCTCTATGAATGTCCCATGAACTATGTTAACATAAAGCTGGCACACCGAAGGCACTCAACAAGTGCTCCAGGGATTTTACTTCATGGTTCCAGCAGATGGAAAGTGCTCAATACATGCCCCCATAAACTGGACTACATGATACCAGCATACAGCAGGTGTTCAATAAATGCTCATTGAACCAAGTTGCTTGGAGCCCTGGGCTCTGAACCATACACTCATGCTGCAGTCTGGCTGGGCACAAATCACGAGCCACTCAAGCAGGAACAAACTTTATTTCTGAACTCCACCAGCACACTCCACACACGCTCCCCGGGAACTCTCTCCCGAACGCCACCGCCACCCACCAACTGGAACTCCCTCCCCCGGCTGCCTGCGCACTCACTCTCGGAACCCGCGAGAACTCAGAGAACTCAACGGGAACTCCAAAGTAGCCGGGTGCCTGACACAGCAAGAGCCATCCTATTACCGGACAGTAAAGGTCTAATGAACAATTGAATTAATCCAGCATCATCTTAATGGCTCACCTCTCAACCATTACTTCTGGCAGAATGCCAGGGGCCATTCCGACTTGGCTGTGGCTCTCAACACACTCATTTCTGTCGTGTGTGTGTGTGTGTGTGTGTGTGTGTGTGTGTGTTTACATAGTCATAATGGAGATCTTGGGGGAGAGTGTTTTGGTGCGCTGAGTGGTGGCTGATCCCTCTGGTAGATGATGCTGGTGAAGTTCAAGGTGAACTGGTTACTTACCTGATCTGAGCCCATGCACTCCAGGAACTGAATGCTGCTCACACGCTGCTCCTGTCCCCTGTGCTGAGAGCCAGGTACCACCAGCTCTCACTTGTGTGACATCCCAGGCTGACCCAGTGCCCCACACAGCCATGTCATGGTGAAGCCAGGTTTGGAAGTCAGCTAGGACAGGTGGAGTCCCAAGTCACCTGCTGACGGACCTCGCTTTCTCACCTCTTTGCACGGCAGTCTCCCCACCCATAAACCCAATAATAATTCCACGTGGTGCTCCCGTGAGGACCAGAGGTGGTGACACTTTAAAGTTTCCAATCACCAAAACATCATGAATGTTTATTTTTAAAATGAAGTCACCTGGTAATTCTGCAGGTAGATCCTAACTCAGCAAAAACAAATACACATGTTCACCCAAAGATGTGCACAAAAGTGTTCATGAACAGAATTATCCCTTGTTGTCCTAAACTAAATGTCCACCTGCAACAGTTTGAATAAATCACGTGTGGTATATTTACCCAGTGGAATACTATGCAGCCACGAAAAAACAATTGCTGTATCTAATAACATGGATGGATATCACAAAAATCATTGGAACAAAATAAGCCAGAAATAAAAGAGTGTGTGCAATATATATCCATTAATACCAAGTTCAAGAGCAGGAAAACTGATCTATAATCAGTCAAATGTCAAAAGGTGATTTCTTTGAGGAAAGGTGCACACTGGGGAGGGGCAGAAGGGGATTTGGCTGTGTCCCGGGTGGTGTTATGTGGGTGTGTGTATGTAAAGATTCATGGAGCTCTACCCCTGGGGAGCCAAACTGTGTGTGAGTTATACTTTAAAAAATTAGAAGCCAGATGCAGTGGTGCACACCTGTAATCCCAGCGGCTTGGGAGCAAACCCAGAGCTGTGGCTAAGCACCCCCCTGGGTTCAATCCCCGGGGGAGGGAGGGCAATGGAATATGGCATCCTGCAGCTGACAGCCCCTGACTAACGCTGGTTCAGCTTGGGGTTTCCCTCATGATGGGCGAGTCGGGCTATAACTGCACGTTTGACTTCCCAGGGGTTTTTCTGGGACGCGGCCCCATCTGAACCGGAGGGAGGAGAGGCGCCTGTCCCCTCCCCTAGGGGGGAGGTCGTCAGGGCCCCTGGCTCCCCAGCTGAGCTCCCTGGAATTCTGCCTCTGTTCCAGGTTCATGAACCACCGGGTCCCCGCCCACAAGCGGTACCAGCCCACCGAGTACGAACATGCCGCCAACTGTGCCACCCACGCTGTGAGTCTGCCCTGGGGGCCGAGGGCTGCGAGGGGGACCCTGCTGGGTGGGGCCGGGGAGACAGCGTGACTTTGCACATGCCGTTCCCACTGCCGGGAACACCTGCCACCTCCGCCCCCGGAGCCCTCCTCGTCTTCTGTGGCCTTGTCGAGATGCTCCCCCCAAGTCCCTCTCGGCTGCCCGGCTGCTGGGGAGCCCTGAGTGGTATGCCCTGCTGCCCTGCAGTGCCCATCGCTCGGCCATTCTGCAAGCTGTTCCTGGTTCCCTGGAGGTGCCAGACTGCCCTTGTCCTGACCTGAGTGTAGTTTGAGCCCTTGAGGTGGCTCCTTGGCGTTTCAGGAGGCTGCCAGTGAACCCACAAGCTGAATTGCATTGCTTCTCAGCCCTGCCCCCGCCTCTTGGCTCCGCCCACTCATTTAAGCCTGCCCACTCATTGGTCCCACCCACCCCACGGTCCCTCCCACTCACCCAGCCCCGCCCTCCACTTGTCCCCGCCCACTCACCTTAGTCCCTCCCCACTTGTCCCCGCCCACTCACCGTGGCCCCACCCAATTCTCTTGGCCCCGCCCACTCACCTTGGCCCCGCCCACTTCTCTTGGGCCCCCGCCCCCACCTCTTAGCCCCAGACTGAGGGGTTCGTCTGGCTGGCACTGAGATGGTGAGTGCCCGGCGCCACACGGATGCCCCATCCTGCGCGTGCTGCTCTTAAGTCAACCCCCTTAGAACAGGAGCTCTCGGTTTTACAGAGGAGGAAACAGGCTGGGGCCAGAGGACTTGCCCCAAGTCCCAAGAGCAAACCTCCAGCGAGGGGAGACCTGTCTCTGAACCCCAGCTCCGTCATTGAGCGACTGGAGCCTCCGTTTCCTCGTCTGCAGAATGGGTGTCATGAGTCATTCTCAAGGGTGGCTTGAGGGTCCCTGGAGCCACTATGTATCCTCCTGGCAAATGCAAGTGCCTATGGGGCGGGGGCGGGGGGGGGTGCTGAGCGGGGTGGGGGATGGGGCCTGAGGCTGAGGAGGAGCCTCTGTTTTGTTCTGCTCTGGGCCCTGAAGCTGCAGACAGTCATGGCTGTGCCCAGCAGCCTTTGGAGATGGAGCAGCACCCGTCCCAGCCCTCTATTTAAAAAAAAAAAATTTATATGTATTTGTAATTGTTGGTGGGCTTTATTTTATTCATTTATTGATATGCAGTGCTGAGACTCGAACCCAGTGCCTCACACATGTTGGATAAATGCTCTACCACTGAGCCACCACCTGGCCCCCTGTTAACTGAGCACTTACTGTACACCCTCTTAGCCAGCCCCTGGGAGCCCGTGGGCGGGCAGGATGCCCGCAGTGAGCTTTGAATCCTTGTTCGCTTGAGGGTATATCAGCGCACACAGGAAGGAAGGAATGAGTGACTAGGTACCGAAGAGGGCCCGGAGGTGGTCACAAAGAGGATGACAGCCTCATGCAGAAGCACGAGATGCTGGCGGTTCACTTTTTAAGGTGACATAGAAGATTAAGAAAAATGATTTTTGAACATCTATAACTCTGACCCCTTTGTCCCGGCTCCTGTCTCACCTGACAAGAAGCCAGCCACCCGAGGAGGGGAGGGAACAGCATGTGCAAAGGCTCTGAGGCAGGAAAACTGTCACCCTGGAGTGGCTGACAGTAAGGTCAGAGCATGTAATCTGGGCAGAGCAGGAAGGAAGGGCTTAGAGGTCAAGTTCAAGGACCCAAGGGGCAGATGATGCATTTGTAAAAGCAAAGGGCTTTGCGGTTCTGTCCTCTACGGCCGATCGTAATGCATCATCTGCTATTTAAACCCTTTGCAAGCTGCGTGGCACCTGGGCACCTGAGCTCGGCCTTCAGGGAAGTCCAAGGAGGTGATGGTGTGACACATGGCCCATCTGGCTCTCAGGTGGTGGCTCCGAGTGGCACCAGGGCTGCGGAGTTGCTGTTCTCTGAGCGGCGGTTCTTACGCACCTGGAGAGCCTAAGGAATGTTCTGGATCTCCGTGGTCCACCTTGGTGGCCGCTAGCCCCATGTGGCCACTGGAATGTCAATGTGAATCCATTCACATGCAATTAAAGAAACCGACTCAGTTCTGCAGGGCCATCGGCCACCCATCACATGCCCCGAGGCCACCATGTTGGCGCCACATTGGTCAGTGTGATCTAGAGGAAGTGGGGGGGGGTAAGCGTGGTGGCCTGGGCTGCGCGTCCCAGTGGCCCACAGTGCTGTCCCGCCCTGTCCCCAGCTCTGGATCATCCCCAGCATCCTCGGAAGCTCCAACCTCTACTTCCTGTCCGACAACAGCTGGGAGACCATTTCCGCCTCCATCTATGGCCTTGGCCTCTGCGCCCTCTTCGTGGTGTCCACCATATTCCACACTGTCTCCTGGAAGAAGAGCCACCTCAGGTAGCTTCTGTCCAACCCATGGGAGGGCACACCAGCAGGATGGGGTGGCCTCAGCCCAAGAGACGGGGCAGGGAACTGAATTTGCCAGGGACCTGCTTAACCAGGCCCGGAGTGACTGAGGGTGGGGTGACCCCTAGGCTGACTTGGGGCGGGGGACAAGCTTTGCCTTGGGCAGCTGGGTTGATCCCACCTGGACAGACCCCTCACTCACAGGAGCCCCCCACATGTGCCTCCCGCTCAGAGCGTGACATCGTGGCTCAGCACAGGGCCTTGCTCAAGGTCACACAGCTGCTCCTGTCTGAGCAGAGCTTTGTCCAGGATGCCAGTTCCCGATGAAGCTTGTCCCTCCCTTCCTGTCCCCATCCTTCCCCTCCTTCTCAGGTCCTTCTTGAGCCCCACAGGTTGAGTGTCCTGTTGCTGCTGTGACAAATGACCCTAGACCCAGAGGCTTAAGCACCTTAAATCTATTTCCTCACAGTCCTGGAGGCCAGAGTCTGAGTTCAAGGTGTGGGCAGGGCCTCCTCCCAAGGCCCCAGGGGAGGCTCCCTCCTGTCCCCACCAGCTTCTGGAGGCTCCAGGAGCTCCTCAGAGTGTGGCCACAGCACTCCTAACTCAGCCTCCATCTTCCTCTGCCTCGGCTTCCTGCTGTGTGTTTCTGTCCACAGGTCTCTCTCTTTCCTCCTCTAAAGATACCAGTCATTAGTTTTAGGGCCCACTAGCCAGCAGCATGATTGTTCTGTCCTCACCGTGATGTGGAAGATAAAAATGAGGGACCTCGCTGGGCTTAGTGATCTACCCCTATAATCACAGTAGCTCGGGAGGCTGAGGCAGGAGGATCGTGAGTTCAAAGCCAAACTCAGCAAAAGTGACGTGCTAAGCAACTCAATGAGACCATGTCTCTAAATAAAATACAAAATAGGGCTGGGGATGGGGCTCAGTGGTGGAGTGCCCCTGAGTTCAATCCCTGGTAACTACCACCCCCATAAAAAAAAAATGAAGGACCAGCCTTGGAGGTAAGATTGCCAGTCAGCGTCAGTAGGGGCCTAGAACAGCATGCTTGCTGATGGTGGCATGGGCTCCCCACGTGGCAGCCATTACCATTGTCTTCTTGTCTAGAAACAGGTGTGGCTGAACCCCTGCTGAGTCCCTGTTCAAGCTTGTTCAGGGCTGCGGTTTACTGGAGAGAATCACAGTTTGTATTAGTTCTTGATTGCTGCATTAACAAAAATGCCCCCAAATGTGGTAGCTTAAAAATAAGAAATGTGCGTCCTCTGTCAATGCCTCAGAGGATCGGGAGCTCCCCAGCTGTGGTCTGGGGGTCAGTCACTTGTTGGCTGGTGCTCTGTCATCTGAAGGCCGGACGGGGGGGCTGGAGGGCCCACTTCAGTGGCTAGCAAGTTGGCGCTGGATGTTTAGTGCCAACTAAATATTTCTTCCCCGGATGAACTTCCCCACACCACATGATGGCTAGTTTCCCCCCAAAGTTAGTGGCCCAAGAGAACAAGGTAGATGCTGTAATATATCCTATGATCCAGCCTTGGAAATCACACCCTGTTATTTCTGTAAGAGCCTGTTGGTTGCATGAGTTTGCCCTGTTTTTTTTTTTTTTTTCCCCTGTGGGTGGGACTGTACAGGGTGAGAATTCCAGGAGGCAGGGCTCATGGCGCCATTTTGGAGGCTAGCCACCAGCCCTAGCATGAGGGCCACAGCTCAACTGTTCAAGGGGAGGCCATGGCAGGATTTGGCTTTAATTGAGCACTTCTCCTTGTGCGATGTGCTAAATAGTAACTCACTTAGTGCTCCCAAGGACTCTGTGGTTGGGATACAGTCTCCTTCCTATTTTACAGAGCTAAGAAGGGTTGGTGACTCCTGCCAGGTCCTTGGGTGGCAAGGCCAGGCAGCCAGTCATGGAGGTCTTCTGAGCAGGATGCTGGAACCCAGGGATGCATAGTGTCGTCGGTTTTGGTTTGTTTGTTTTTGCAGTGGTACATGTTTTTGAGTTATAGGATTCTCTCTCCATCTGGCATCTTTTGAAGATCCCAGTATAGAAACCCCAAATGCAGAGTTGTATGCAGGGAGTGTGTCAGTAGTCACCCCAGGGAACCCCGGGGCGACTCGTGCACCCCTACAACAGCAAGGAGCCGGGTTTGAAAACTGCTGCTCTGGTCACTTACAGGCAGGGAGACTGAGGCCCCTGGGGTCCCGCTGGCTGGATGGGGGCGGGTCTGCCCCAGCCCATCCCCTCCCAGTGGGGAAGCCGCGGATGTCCCTGGGTAGCTCTCCAGTCCAGGGTCGTGACCAACACCTTCTCTGCCTCCCTAGGATGGTGGAACATTGTCTGCATATGATTGACAGGATGGTCATCTATTTCTTCATAGCAGCCTCCTACGCGCCCTGGTGAGTACTCTGTGTGGCCACCCTGGGTCGGTGGGCTTCGCTGCTCTGCACATTCATGATTATAGTTAACTGGGTAATAGGTTGACTTGGCATAGAAAGAGGTGGTGACAAGAACCCTCTGCCCTGTTCTCCC